CCATATGTTTATCCAATGACCATTTAAATGCCCTTACAGTGGGCGAGTCTACTATTTTTGCAGGCAGGGCATTCCACGCCCTTACTACATATTCCCCTCCCCCTCCCTCGTCCGCCTTCCGCAGGGACTGTTCCCTCCGGGACACCCTCGTCCACACTTTCTTCACCACTAACAAACCCTTCCCCCCAGAAAGCAACTGCTGCAGGTGTAACACCTGTCCATTTACCTCCTCCCTCCTCCCTCCTCAGTATCTAAGGGCCCAAGCAACTCTTCACCTGCACTCCCCAGAATCTCATCTACCGCATTCGCTGCTCCTCCTTTTCTGCTCTCATTTTCCGCTTGGGGACCCTGCAGCCCTCCGGACTCGATATCGAGTTCAATAATTTTAGGGCCTAAACTCTCTCATGTCCCAGTCCCCCACCCCACACACCAGGCCTTGTTATCACATAAAAACCAAAAGAACTGCGGATACTGTAAATCAGGAACAAAAACACATCATAATGTTTCAAAGGACCCAAAACATTAACTCTGTTTTTCCCTTCACAGATGCTGCCAGACCTGCTGGGTTTTTCCAGCAACTTTGTTTTTGTTCTTGTTATCACACAGCCTGCCATTACACACTATCTACTATTAGCCACTAACAGTCTCCATTAACAGCTATTCACCCTCCTAGCCAGATCGATATAAACTCCTTTGTCTATCCAACTGCTCTTCTCTCATAAAGACTGAAAGTACTGCAGATGCTGTAAATCAGGAACAAAAACAAAGTTACTGGAAAAGCTCATCAGGTCTGGCAGCATCTGTGAAGGAAAAAACAGAGTTAACGTTTCGGGTCCAGTGACCCTTCCTCAGAACTGAGAACAGTTGAGGAAGGGTCACCGGACCTGAAAGGTTAACTGTATTTTTCTTCACAGATGCTGCCAGACCTGCTGAGCTTTTCCAGTAACTTTGTTTTTGCTCTTCTCTCTTTGGGTTCTATCCTTTATCCCATTGTTTACTCCCTACCTCATCCCCCTCCTTATCTTCTGCATTTAAACCGACGTTTTCTAAACTACCATCAGGAAAAAGTTCACCAGGCCTAAAATGTTAACTCTGATTTTTGTCTTCTTCATAGATGCTCCAGCTCCAGGTGAAGCAGCACTTTTACCACTTTTTCTGAAGAAGGGTCTAGGCCCGAAACGTCAGCCTTCCTGCTCCTCTGATGCTGCTTGGCCTGCTGTGTTCATCCAGCTCTACACCTTGTTATCTCATTTTTACCAAGACAACAGGTTTTTGAATTTAGCCAAGTAATTTGAACAAGCCGTATACACTAAAGCTAATTGAATTTAAATCAGAGATAGTAGGAACTGCAGATGCTGGAGAATCCGAGACAACAAGGTGCAGGGCTGAATGAACACAGCAGGCCAAGCAGCATCATAATAGGAGCAGAGAGGCTTTTTGACGTTTCGGGCCTAGACCCTTCATCAGAAAAGGGGGAGGGGAAGGGGGTTTTGAAATAAATAGGGAGAGAGTGGGAGGCGGATAGAAGAGGGATAGAGGAGAGGAGACAAACAGGTCGAAGAGGCGGGGATGGGGCCAGGAAAGGTGAGTGTAGGTAGGGAGTTAGGAAGGGGATAGGTCAGTCCAGGGAGGACGGACAGGTCAAGGGGGCGGGATGAGGTTGGTCGGTAGGAGATGGAGGTGCGGCTTG